GCAACGCAGGGCCAGGGGAACTGCAAAGGAATTTCACTGGTACGGGGCTGAAAATCTGATCCGGAGACAAGCAGAAGAGGCACAGCATTAATTCACTGTGGGGAAAGTGGAAACCTTCCCAAAGTCATGCATAAACGGAGCAGGGCCAGAGCTTTTGGCAAGAACTCCTGCAACATCAGCAAAAAACCATTGCTCCACCTGATTGACATGCACCAAGGATCAGCTGCTCTAGAGTTCATGGGAATTTGTGTCCTTCAAAGCCGGTGGGAAAGCCTGAAAAACAGAGAAGAGTCCCAAAATCTTGGATTCTGATCTCTTTTCTGATTTTAAGTTTAGCACCTGAAATTGCCAACCAAGTGCACTGTTCAAGGACTTTGCCTTTTCACCACCTAATCCCAAGGAAAACAGCAACAAATATCTCCTGAACCCACTGCCATGACCAGGAGGGCATGGAAATCCAATAAGAGAATCCAAAACATCTACGCTACCATCTTCAGCATGAACCAGGTCACCTGTGACAGCTCTTAGCTACCAGGAGATGGTTGGCCAAGGACAGATATGAAGCTGTGGGCATTTCTAGCGTGCTTATCACAGCATGGGTTCAACGGGGAGGCACCAGGAGGCAGTTCTCATCCTGCTGCTGCCACACAGAGTCATATCTCCTAGAAGAAAACAAGCACTTGAGTGAAGAAGGGTCTGCACCCTGCTGGGAGAGGATACACAGAAAGTGGTGAATGCACACTGAGGCCCATCTCCAGCCTTCTGCCTCAATAAAGCCCTAATTCTTTTTTATTTAAAAAAAAAAAAAAAAAGGGTTAGGCATCAATTTGCACAGCAATTTGGGCTGGAGCACAGCCCTCTGAGGAGAAAACTGGCCAAGGGAGCACTGGATGGGAAAAGGGAAAAGAAACGGTCACAAGACAGAAGCAAGGAGCTCCATAGCATCACACTGTCCATGTAATCAGAGCAGAAAGCACTGCCCTTGGAATTAATTTATATATCTCCCCAAGAGGACAAGCTGCAGATGGGAAATCCATACTGTGCTCCCAGTTCCCTTGGAGGTGTACTGGGATTGAAGCAAGGACCCAACTCCCTAGTGCTGAGCTCTCCCGACCTCTCCTGAAGCCACCAGCCCCTTGACACCTCTCCAGCTGCGGGGGACAATTTATTTGGTGTCTAAATCAGATGTTCTGCTTCTCTCTCTGCAGCCGAGGCCTGAGCTCACACCTCTGCAGTCAGTGGCAAAGCTGATCTCTGAGATACGGGTGAAGTATGTGAACGGTCCAGATCTGGCACTTGGGTATCACACAGAGAAACCCACAGGTTTGTAATTACTCTCTCTGAGCAGGTTTGCATCCCTGCCTTTCCTAGCGGTGCTCCATCCCTCGTGTATTTCTAGGAAAACAAGAGAGAAACAGTCCTGTTCACTGAGGCTCGAGGGGTTCGCTTGGAACCGAAGCATTGTTTTTGCTGTTGATTTGTATGGCATTTACTCACTGCTTGTGCTCTGACCACCCTCCTCCCACTCCTGAAATTCAGAAGCACCCTGGAGAAACTGAAGTCACAGCCAAAGTCACAGGTCTCTGTGGCACAAACCCTGCCCAGGGCTGTGCTGCCGCCCACTGCCTTCCCCCTCTGAGGCAGAGGGAAGCTGACAAGCGCCTGGATGGTTTTCCCAGGGCCACTGGGTGAAAATAAGGCATTTTTTTCTGCTGCTGCTACTCAAGTTGTAACCAGGTACCTCAGCCTTCAGTGGTGGCTTGTCCCAGTTTACCCAGCCTCACAGTGGGGTTTAGTCCTGGTTGTCTTCTAAAATAACGTCTGACTTGCAGTGCACGGACTGCTGAGAGTCCACAAACTCCTCTTTGGGTCTGAAGCGGAGGAAAAAAACCCAATGATCATCATCTGACTGAAAAAGTGGTGTGGAGGGGTGTGCACATCACCCCAAACCCTCTGCTCTACAACTCAAACCTGCGACCATGGCTAAAGTAAGGAGTCAGCAGCCTACGCAGCCTGGAAGCTTTTGAAATCAGAGGGGAGAGACTTGGAAAACTCCTCCGCACCCCATGACACAATCCCAGCGCCGGGGAGTTGCTCAAGAGGGACCCCGAGGAGGATGAAGGAGAGCAGGATTTCCCAGCGTGCAGGCAGGGTGTGGGACGGGTGTACCTGCTCCCCTAATCTACCCCACCAACACAGAGAAAAAGAGAAACATCAGGGATTTGAGGGATGAAGTCGGATGGGGAAGCGCCGGGAAAAATCAGCGGCTCCACAGCTGAAAGGGAGTGATGATGAAGGAGGAGAACTGCATCCCGGGGGTAAAAAGCAGGGATATGCCAGCACTGGGCTTGGGCCACGCGGCTGAGTTTGGTTTCGCTGGGATGGTATCGCTGAATCCATCACCCTGAAGTTTCACAGAGGCTCCTACGTTGCGCCAAGCTTCCTTGCTCTGAGCTGAACAGGGTAGGAGTGATAATTCCCCAAATCCCTCTTGGCTGCTGGACCAGGACAGGAGTCGGCAGAGATCGAGGCAAGTCAAGACAGAGGTGCGTTGGCAGAGCTGGAGCTGAGGAGTCCTGTTCAAGTACGGTAATAATTAAAATAGCCATCACGTTGATTTTATAGCATTTCCAACAGGGATCCTCTGAGGATTTTCCAAACGCAAATAAATTATGCCCAACAAATCCTGTGGGGAAGTAGTAAATCCTCATACGTACGGGGAAACTCAGGCAGTAGCGCTGCAGAGCGTTGTAACAGAGCTTGGAGACGGCTGAACATCCACCCATTTCCAGGTAGATAAAAGAATATCCTTAATTTTCAAAGGACAGAACGGTGAGAGACCAGAGCACAAGGTCACCCATGGAAGAACAGAGAAAGGCTGGGACAGGTTTGCATGTCCATCCTATGTCCCAGAGGCGATGTCAAACCATCCATTCCTTAATAGTGCTGCAAATTCACTTGTGATGGTCTTCGTAAGACAAGTTTTCATGGATGAATCAGTGTCAGGACACATTGCAGACCACGGAAAAATTCCTATTCCATAAGGCAGCAGAAACCAAATAACTGGTGAAATGTCAAGGAGTCCAAAAAGCCTCCTCTTCCCCCAAACTTGGGATGAAAACTGGACCAAGACTCTCTTTACCTCCTCAAACAGAGCTGCTGTTCTTTCTTAGGCACAGCTGGAGCTCCCACAGGCATCATGCAGGACATGTGGCCCAACCCAAAACTTCCAGCCTGTCATTACAGCTCACTCCTGTGACCAGACTCCAGCATCCCGGTGCCCTTTGTGCCAGCACGGAGACAGTCCCACCAAAGGGACGGGCTTTAAGAAACGCTCTCACCATCAGCGGATGCCGCAGGGCAGGAGAAATGAGGGGCAAGCAGAACAACAATGTGAGAGACAAGGTATGACGGCACATGTCTTCAGAGCCCACGTTTTGAGGACTCAGACCAGGGCACAGCCAACCCCCGCCATGCCCCTGCCTGGAGGGAGGACCTCTCCAAAGAGGGTTTCAGGCTGGACTCATCCAGATCCCACCCCCCTGTACAGCCCCAAGAAAAGAGGTCCCTCCAGGATCCCCCCAGTCCTGTCCATGGGTGAAAGAAGCCCTTTGGAAAGGGGGAACCCCCGGGGATAACCCCAGTATATCCCAGTCAGCTGAGATGGAGGTTCCTGGGGGTGACCCTGGCAGTGTCCCTTTGGCAGGGTGGGCCAGGACCCCACACCCCCAGGGGTGCCTCTGGGGTGTCCCAAGGCACCAGCAACAAGGTTGGCTTCAACACCACAGCCCCAGCACAGGGGGGTCACTAGGAACACCCCTAAACCTGCACAGAGGAATCTCTAAAGGTGTCCCCTGCCTCTGACAGAGGGGATGGCAGATGTCCTTGACCTCACACTCCCATCCCAGAGACTCCCCCAGTGTCCCCGGGGTGTTCCCAGCCCTCTGGCTTGGAGAGGAGGGGAATGTCCCTAGGGACTGTCCCTTGGCCTCACATGTCTGGTTGTGGTGTGTGTCTGGGGGGTCCCTAGGAGTGTCCCCCACCCAGAAGCAGAGGACAATCCCCAGGGACACCTCAAGACTGTCCTAGGGCTGTCCCCTGCCCCATGGCCCTGGCACAAGGCTGTCTCTAGGGCTGTCCCCCAACCCACGACCCCACCACAGGGGGGTCCCCAGGGCTGTCCCCTGCCCCAGAGCCCTAGCACAGAGGGGTCCCCAGGGCCATCCTCAGCCCCACGGCACTGGAACAGGGGGGTCCCCAGAGCTGTCCTAGGGCTGTCCCCAGCCCCATGACCTAGGCACAGGGGAGTCCCCAGGGTTGTCCCCTGCCCCATAGCCTCACACAGATGGGTCCTCAGGGCTGTCCTCAGGCACAGGGGTGTCCCCAGGGCTGTCCCCAGCCTCACAGCCCCAGTATATGAGGGTCCCCAGGGTTCCCCTGAGGGGCCCAAAATTGGACACATGGGTCCTCAGGGCTGTCCTCAGGCACAGGGGGGTCCCCAGGGCTGTCACCTGCCTCGCAGCCCCAGCACAGGGGGTTTGCTAAGTCCCCAGGGTTGTCCCCTGCCCCATAGCCCCGCACAGATGGGTCCTCAGGGCTGTCCTCAGCCTCAGGGCCCTGACACAGGGGCGTCCCCAGGGCTGTCCCTGCCTCGCAGTCCCGGTATATGAGGGTCCCCAGGCCTGTTCCCTGCCTCGAAGCCCCAGCACAGGGGGGTCCCTGGGGCTGTCCCCTACCCCATAGCCCTTGCACAGGGGGGTCCCCAGGGCTGTCCCCTGCCCCACGGCCCCAGCACAGGGGGTCCCCGACCCCAAACCCCAGCCAGAGCTAAGGACGGGGCTGTCTCCAGGGCCCCCCCCGCCGCCCACCTTCTTGACGGAGAGGGAGATGTTCTCCAGGATGCGGTCCTTCACCTCCGCCGGCTCCATGGCGGCGCCTCCG